AAGTTTTTTGGTTTGTTGATGTTTTCTTTCTTTTTTTTTGTCGCAGGTGCTATAAATTAACATACATGGGTAAGTTAGCAAGCAGATTGAGATTATCATGTCCACTGAGGAAATTTCACTTACGTTCGTTTTTCTTGCGCTTTTTGCTACACTTTGCTTTACATGCGATTAAGGTCAACGCTCCCAAGAATCACCCAAAAAATGTTGGTTACTTCTAATGCGTTATTGCTTTTCTTTAGCGTTTTCTTCTAAGGATTCTGGAAGATTGTGGGCAAGGGGACGAATTTGGCTGCAAAGCTGGCGCTTTTTGCTAAATCAACAATTCACTTATTCTAATTCGTAAGCCCTAGGCCAACAAACTTCCACTAGTCTAGTTACGAGTCAAAGAGCTGGCGTGAAGTTCTTGAAGTGACTGACTGAAACTGCTTTGCCAGCTAATTTCGAAAACGAAAAAGGTATTTTTGAATGGAAAATGTGAGATACTCCTTTAAAAGAACTTTTTTGTACAGTTTTAGTCGTACGCTCATACTTCGCGTGCTGGTCAAGTAAGAGTGGTGGTATGGAGTGACTATAGCTGTTTGAAGTTCTAGCTTCTATCAGAAAAAAAAGGTAGCACCCCAGTTTATTTTTGTGTAGTTGTTGTAGTAGTAAGATATTTGATTTTTGATTGTTCCTAGTCTTCAGAGAACTTTGTAAGAAACTTTTGTAATATGTGAAGAAGTGGGGAGAGTCGATGCCTGAGCAACAGCTTTAATGCAGCTACATACTGCTTTACTACATCAAAATTCCTCTAAGCTGTATCAGTGGCTTCACCAACGATATCTAGTCGTTCTTCTTTGATTTCTTTGCACGCTTTTTCCCACCTCGTTCGCTGCTTAAAAATAATGAATGACAAACTTTCTGAATGGCTAAGCTATCTATCTATATGTATGCGCTTATATGTACCCTGATGCTTCGCTCCTATTCGAGCGTTTTTTGCCATCTCCACCATTTCCATCACTACGCTCTGATTCATGGCTCTTACTTCTCTTCTTACTTTCACTTTCTTTGCTTCGTTTGTGGCGCTTCTCCGAGCTGGACTTGTGCTTTTTCTTCGACGATTCGCTACTTCTTTTCTTTCTGTGTCTGCTTTTGCTTCTAGACCTATCAGACACATCTGATCTGAAAAAAACAAATAGCGGAATAAACTATGTTAAACAAGCAGAACAAGCAGAAAACAGTATAGAATAGAATATTATCGGGCACGATAGTATTTTCACCACTATCGACATGAGTTATGCAGAGTAAATTAATATGTTCAATCGCTCTTGTTGCTAATACTGCGATGGGAATGCAGCTCATATCTCATTTGACCACTTCACCGCGTTCATAATAGCTCACGTTTTTCATGTTGATATCGACAGAAAGCTTATGAATAGTATTGTAGACTAACGATCTCTTGCTTCTCGACGATTTCGAATGTGATCTATGCTTTCGATCTTTTCTCGAAGATTTTCTGCTTCGACTTTTGCCGTGACGCTGTAATCTGTAGACTTAATTTGGGAAAACAGAAGAAATTACCAACACCTACCTTCTTGCTCTTTTTGCTTTTCCTTGATTTTTTCGACTTCTTCTGCTCTTCTAGATCTTGAACAGATGTTACATTTAACATGAAAACTACCCTGTCAAATATCTCTCTTCTTTACTTACTCTTTTCGCTCCATTTGATTCCCTCGCGAGGCCTGCTGAGCACCAATGTCGTTTCTTTCGGGCGATTCTCTGGATCTGGGATGCCACAGCGAACCAAGTGGCGATTAATGTGGGTTCCTTCAAGGCAAATTCGCGTGCTGTGTTTTGATTCCATAGAATTTTTCGCAAAACGAGCCACCTTCAAGAAAATAACTGAGAGAGTTTTACCTGAATCATAGTTAGGAAATCTTACCGATTCAGGCATTTGAAGAGTTGCTATACGCTCAACGATCAACTGGCGATCTACTTTGTTTAGATAGGCGGAACGAATCTGCATTTGAGGCTGAGAGCTGGTGGTTTAGAAGTGAAATAAACTAACCACAGAAAATACGCCAGGCACGTAGACAGCTGGATGAGGTTGGCCAACAAGCCAAAGAAGAGCGGCATCGGCAGCCACGATTTCATGGGGGACGTGAAGTTCGCAACTGTAAATAAAGCCTATTTTGGATTTCTTACACGTTGTTCCAAGATGCCTGGTATATCAATATGTTAACTACTTTGGAACAAAGAACCAACACTTTGAGATGATATAAAGATGCTTAAACAACAGCCCTAATTTCTTTACATTCTAGATTTTGACGATACAAAAATTCGTTGTGCCAGAAGGTTAGGAAGAACTTTTTTTT